CCTGCCCATGGAGCACATCCTCAGGGCTCCTTGGAGACTTTCATTCAATGGCTCTGGGACCAGGCCCACGGAACGGCATTTCTGAAGCACCGGAAGCGAGGTCTGAGGGCTAAGATAGGGCTCCCTTCAAAGACGCCCGAGGACACAGAAGACCCTACCCCCCTTGCTGTGACGGGGCCGAGGGGAGTCTGGGTGTTTGGGGGGAACGGGCTGTGAGGCTGAGGTCTGACTGTCCGGACTGGAGGCGAAGGGAGAGGAGATGCCGGATCCTCGACCCCTCTGCCCAGCCCTCAGGTTGCACCTGGAGCCACCTGGGGAAGGTGAGGATGTTGGGGGCCTTTATGGAGGAGGGGGTGGGGGGCAGGCTGTGGCCAGCTTTCCGGGGGCTGCCCTAGGTGAGGCCGGCCAGAGCGCAGGAGAAGAGCTGTCTGGCTGCCTACAGTTGAAGAAAATCTGGTTTGAAGAGCCAGCCTGACATGTATGTTTATTCTGGAGGAATGCCATTAGCAAAAGAAAACAGAGATTTTGTCCTCATGGCTTCTAGGAGCAGGGGAGGTAGACTATCTTCCAGGCTGCTCCGAGGGACTGAGACTTTGCCTGAGGGAAAAAAACTCCTGAGCCCAGATGCTGGCTTCACTGGAATACTTTGCCATTCTCCTATGCAAGGACAAGATTCTGAGGAGTGGTCCCTAGTCCTGGTACTTAACTCAGAGCCCCTCGTTGGTGTCGCTGCAATTTCACAGATGAATCTGCTCTCCTCTCTGCACCATCCCCTCCTTCCCGGCTTTGTTTGCTTCCCTGTCCCTCTCCCCCGCCAGTTCCAATCCAGACATTCACAAGGCTCATTGCATGCCTCACAGTCTCTGCAGTGCTGGTTGTGATCAAGTTCAGATCTTCCCTCCTTGCACCCTAAGGACAGGGAGTGGGGTGGTTCTTGCCCAAGACCCAGCGGAGGCAGAATGGGCTGGCAAGTCCAGAGAAAGTGAGTGGTTTCCTCGAGAGGCAGAGGTGTGCTCAGCTCACCAAGCTCAGCCGCCCTGGCTGCATGCGGTCCTGGCAAGGCTCTAGGATGTCAGGGCCGGGTGGCCTTTGGAGGCCTTATCCACTCCAAGAAGCTTACAGATACTTCCAGCAAGTTGCTTTCAATAATCAGAACAGCTGCTACCATCCCCAAGGTTATGGATGTCAGGCTTTGGAGATCTGCTTCTGACCCTAGTTTCCTTTTTTTTTTTTTTTTTGCAGAATAGGGACTTAGAAAGCAAGAAGGAAGCCTGGAGTGTGTGTGTGTGTGTGTGTGTGTGTGTGTTTTATATGTTCTTACATTTTACAGGCAACCATGGATCAGAGGGCATCATGGTGTGTGCCAGAGTCAGACCTGGTACCCAGTTTCCCCATCCATCTCCATGTCAGTCTGTTCTTTATCTTCTGCTGTCCCTCTGGCCCTGACAGTGGCCCTGGGGCTGAGCAAAGTGGACAATCTGAAATGCTGCTTTGAGCTGGCATGCTGCTGGTGACCTGTCCTGTCTGTGTGGCTTCTGGAGGAACAGCAACTGGTGGTGACTGAGGGAAACACCCCACATCAGCACCAGCCACTGATTCACCTCTGAGCATCACCCGCCGACCTGGGTTGTCTCTCCTTTTTCCTAAGCACTTCCTGTCTCAGCCCACTGCCTCCATAGCCTGTGTCTTCTGCCTTCGTTTGAGGTTGCTTTCATCTCATTTTCCTGTATTCTGTAAGTGTAGGCAGAAACTATGTGAAAGATGTTTGTGTGAGAGGTCTGTTATGAGTGTGTGTTGTGATGGATTCACACATCACTTCAGGGCCCAGAGTCCCCACAAACTCAGCTCACAGTCCTTGAGGGCAGACACCAATGAACGCCTGGGGATGCGGCACGTCTGTGTGTGCATTTGAGGGGTGTGAGCAGATGGCGTGTAAATGCTTAAATGGTCCTCTAAAAGAATGTGTTCAGATTACATAGAAGATGGGAGATGGAAATGGAAAATGAGTTCAAACAGGCTAACTGCTGACCTGGGCTTCGCGTGGCTGGCTGCCCTGGGGTATGAAGCTATGTCTTTCCCATGAGCTGAACTGTGTCCCCAAGCCCACATGTTGGAGCCCTAACTCCTGATGTATATTTGGAGACAGAACCTTTAAGGAAGTGTTTAAGGTCAAGTGAGGTTATAATGGGCTTCCCAGGGGTGCTAGTGGTAAGGAATCTGTCTGCCAATGGAGGATATATAAGAAATGTGAGTTCGATCCCTGGGTTGGGAAGATCCCCTGGAGGAGGGCATGGCAACCCAGTTCTTGGGAAATCCCAAAGACAGAGGAGTCTGGCAGGCTGCAGTTCACGGGGTCACAAAGAGTCATATAGGGCTGAAGTGACTTAGCATGAGGTTATAATGGTAGGGCCCCAATCGATAGGATTAGTGTTCGAATGATGAGAGGACACCCCAGGGAGCCCTCCCTCCCCATCTCTGGCCATCTCCATGCCCCCCTCCCCAGCATTCTCAGAGGAAAGGACATATGAGAACAAAGCTGGCATCTACAAGCCAGGAAGAGCACTCCTATCCAGTACAGCCAACAGCTCTTCCTGGCTGACCTTGGCCTTCTGGCCTCCAGAACTGTGAGAAAATCCATTTCTGCTGTCCCAGCCTGCACTCTTTCATTGTCGCAGCCCTGGCAGGTGAATATATCCTTCATCTCCACGAGCTGCTGTCCTCGGCTGGGACACAGCTCTCTCCCGAGTTCACAGCCCAGGGGTACAAGCACCCAGACTTCTCCTGGTCAGTCCTGGGATCCTCCTGTCGGCCACACCCCCACGGGCAGCCCCACCAGCTCACAGGGACATGGCAGAGTCAGTGCGGGGCAGACCCCAACCTCGCCCTTTGCCCTCAGTTTCATCAAGACCAAGGGATAGGCATTTGCAGGCACCACGGTGTGGGCAGAGCCACGGGCTAGGAGAGGAGCAGGTCAGGGCTGATTCCTGGTCTGGACAATTCAAGTCACCATGTCCTCAGTGGCTGAGACTGGTCCTCGATACGGAGGGCTGTGTGGAGGCTTCCGCTCAGCCTGGGAGTGTGAGAGTGCGTGTGCGTGGGTGTGTGTGTATGTGTGTGTGTGTGTGCCCTTGTGTCATGTCCTTTGGCAAACCTTCCAGCACTGAGGAGGGGTCTGGTCTGGGTCTCATTAACACCTCTTCACTAGCTACATATACTTCAGTGTCACTTAGCCTCTGGGGTCCTCCTCTTACCCGTGTTTAAAATGGGCTAATAACCTGTCTTGCACAGAACTAGCATGATGCCTGGAAACCAGTTAATATTTGGTAAATGGTAGATATTATGATGATCATTATGAACATGACCCAAGAACTCATATCTTAAAATGAAGTCTTCAGAATTAAGTCATTAGCTCTCTTTGCTTTGGGCTGAAGAAATTATCACAAGGGACAGGGAGGCCTGGCCTGCTTTAGTCCATGCGGTCACAGGGAGTCAGACACGACTTAGTGACTAAGCAACATTAGGGTGACTTCCCTAGGAAGACAATCATCTAATAAGCCATTTGGTGTCTGGGTTGGGTTCTGCTAGTGCCACGTACAAATAGAATACACATCCCTGTTAAGAGCCACCAAGTGGAAGTTTATCGTTTTGGAGAGAGCCCTTCTCCAGAAACGGATAACAATATTTCACATGTATGTGTGTAAAAGCCATCATGGGCTTCCCTGGTAAAGAATCCACCCGCAACTCAGGAGATGCAGGTTGGGAAGATGCCCTGGAGAAGGAAATGGCAACCCACTCCAGTATTCTTGCCTGGAAAATCCCATGAACAGAGGAACCTGGAGGGTTACAGTCCATGGGGTCACAAAGAGTCGGACACAACTTAGTGACTCAACCACAACAAGAAAAGCCATCGTATTCTACATGTCTGTTACCTATATTGTGCAGACTAGCCCCCCAAAGTCTATCCAGTAAGGAGAAGAAGTCAGGGGTGGGGAGCAGGCAAGCCTATCTTGGAAGAAGGCTTAAGGTCAAAAGCATAGGCATTCAGGCAGGCAGAGGAGGGAAGGAGCATGCGGTACCCACCTGCCACTGCTGATGAGGGGCTTATTTCTAAGACACACACAGCACAATGTACACACAATGCAGAGAGAAAACAAGAGACACAGATCACACATTTCAGATGGTTGGTGGACAAAGTTCCCTTCCTGTCAATGCTGAAAGCTGTTCGGGGGCTGAGGTCCATATGAACAAGGAACACCTTTCCTTCCTATTTACCAGACAGTTCCCTCTTGCCAAATCTCAGCAAATACACACGCACATAAACACACGGACCATCACAACAAGCTGGGCCTAGCCGGTGGGGTGAAATGTCACACGAGGAGATGGACACGGCAGTGTGAGAATGGAGGGAAGGCGGGATGAGGGCTCCCAGTGGGCCAGTTGGGGCTCTGGGGCCCCCTCACCCCGTATGGGAGGGGGCGACCCTCAGAGCAGGGATGGATGTCCCAGCTGATGTCCCGATGAGGACCAGCCTCTTTCTCCATTCGTTCCGATGAATGAGAACATGACATGCAGTCAACATGAGGGTCAGGATGGCAGAGTTGACCTGGTTTACAACTGCAACTAGAACCCCTAGAATCATACACTCTTCCTGTAAGGCATCTTAGCATTAAATCTGATTAACTCCTGAGATCGATAAGACAGTACAGCAAATTAAACTCTTCCATGGTTCCATCTTGCTTAAGGCAACCACTGTGCAACTTGGTTCAGAATTTGGTTCACTACTTTTGTAAGGTGCAAAGCTCGCCTCATGATAGACCAGGAGCTATCGGTCGCCTTGTAAATGCCACAATATCACAGGCTAAGAGAATGACCAGGTTGGGTGGTGGGGTTGTGTTCACATCTAAGGTGGAGTGGGGAGCAGTATGGATGGACACAGGCCAGCAGATCTCACCTTCCTCCCCCGCCCATCCAAGCCCCGCGTCCAGGCCTCCTGCACTCACCATACAGTGTGATGCTGGCGTTGGTTATCCCAAGCTTGTTCGTGGCCACACAAGTATAGTTCCCATAATCCTTCTCTGAGACGTTGAAGAAGGTCAGCGTGGATATGTGGCCTTTGTTCTCAATCCTCATGCCATCCAGGCCGGTGGCCAGCCTGCAAAAGAAGAGGAGGTACTGGGGGTCTGGTTCCACTCATGGAGTGAGGGGGCAGGCAAGAGGGGCTGGGGATTCACCCCCACAACACACAACTCTCCTCCACACGAAGCCCTTCCCTCCAACTAACCCAGTCCCTCTCCCTCCAGCCGTAAGCACCATAGTCTCCATCAGGGGTGGAAAGGGAAGGTGCCCCCACTCCCAGGCTGCATTCCGGGGCTCCTAGTCCTTCAAGATGACCCCGTCTACAGCCAATCTCAGATTCTGGAACAAAGTCGATCCACATTTCCCACTTCCCAACTTCCTCTGCTTTTTGTTGTTGGTTCTAAAAGGAGGCTCTGTTATAATGGAGGCTGTCATCAGTTTTGGTTTTGCCATATCTCCCCCCTGGACTCCATCACCCTCCTTCCGTGTGGGGCATCACCCATCAAGCTCTGCTTCAGACACGCCCCATTTCTGCTTTCAAGGTACCTGGTGTCTTCCTTGAACCACTGGAACTCAGCCATGGGCACTGCCGAGGCTTCACAGCTCAAGATGCCCTTCTGGCCAACGGAGACCCCTGTGTTCTTGGCTTTGGAGATATAGGGGGGGTCTGTAGGGGGATGAGGAGCAAGGCCATAAGACAGATGAGAGGCAGGACAGTTGACAGTCACCTGCTGTATACACCCCCTCCTCCAGCTAAACAACCATCTATCTTAGGAAAAGGACTTCTTGCTTGAAGATACTGCATTTACCCCCGCATCTTCTTCAAGCCTTCAAATGAACCCAGAGTTAACAATTCTCCCAATTAGCCAAAAGCTCTGACAGTCACAGGAAGGCCCTGTGGCCCTGGAGATGGTGATGGGCATGGTGATCTCATACAGTGTTTTTATGTTGGAAATAGCTTGGATCTATTAAGAAAATGGCCTTGCCATTACTTGCCCATCCCCATGCCCTTCTGCTCCCTGGGACTCCCCGATAGTGGGTCCACTCACAGTTGACAGTGATCTTTACTTTCCGCACGTCAGGGGCGGCGATGTCATTCAAGGCGCTGCACTCATACTCCCCGGACTGGTCACGTTTGATGTCAGAGATTTCCAGGTATTCATCCTCACTCACAAAGCCCTGGCCTTCTGGGAGGCAAGAAACAGACAGAGACAATCAAGAAACTGTGAAACTGGGGACATAACTATATTTCCATCTAGAATTTAGAGGAGAAGGAATGCGAAAATCCATAAAATAGGGTTTGAACCTCAACTCAAAGATTCTAGACATCTGTTGGCCCCAAAGTATTTGAAGAAATTCTCTGATTGAATCTTGGGTCAATACATTTGGGTCCAAGTCACTTTAACTTTTCAGATCATTTGTTAAGAAGGGCATATCATTCATTTTTTAAATATGATTATTATGAGGATTAACTAAGAGAGTGCATGTGAAATACTGTAGCACTTTAATAAGCTTTGCTACTTTGAAAGAGAATTGTCATGGTCAGCAACATAATTTTTAAATGTGGGAATAAGTTTAGGGTATGTGAATATGGACATCTTCATTTTTCACTACATTTTCACTGTGTACTACATGTCTTTATACACAGAATACAAACTACTAAGACTTGTAGAATGATTAACATTTTGGTACAAACAGACACAAAAGAGTTGGTTGGTTTCAAACGTCCTGGATAAGACAAAACGGAGAATGAATGAATGAGGAAACCCTTCTTGACTGCTACGCAGTAGGGGCTCAATAAACATTTGCCAACATAAAATAACTCTGAAAGCCCCAAATGATAGAGCTCTGGTTACTTGAACCTAGGGTGAGGGTACTTAATAATTTTAATACCCAGCTTTGTGGGACACTCTGGAGGCTTTGCTTGTATGCGTGCTAAGTCACTTCAGTCGTGTCCAGCGCTGTGCAACCCTATGGACTGTAGCCCACCAGGCTCCTCTGTCCATGGGATTCTTCAGGCAAGAATACTGGAGTGGGTTGCCATGCCCTCCTCCAGAGGTTCTTCCTAACCCAGGGAATGAACCTGTGTCTCTTGTTTCCAGGCATTTGTGAAACTTGCAATTCATGATCCCAAATACTCTGGGTCTGAGAAACTGACATTGCTTGCAGCCACCATGACACACTCTTGCAACGATCTGCCTCTGCCTCATTCCTCATTCCACTTCTCGTGGCTCAGTGCAAAGAAGACAGACCCTCTGTTGTCCTGCATCTGCCAAAGCATCAGGCTCCTTTAAAAACTCAGCCCACCCAAGGGCCAAGGGGAAAGTACATCTATTTGCATTTCTTATAAGCCTGATACCTGATTTCTTCTTGTGCTCCGGGCAGGAGAGCAGAATTAGTTTTCAGGATGATAAAAATGTGTTGTAAATTTTCTCCAAACCCATAGAAGCATATCTAATCCAATGGTCACTCAATCAGCCAAGTCTGGGCCCACAGTGGGTTTGGGGCAGGAAGAGAATGTCGGGGCTGAGGGAGGTGATGGGCAGACACCAGGCAGGTGCTTTGGCATCCTGATTCTGCTGACACAGAAGTCTTGGGGCATTCCCACCATCTACCCCTTTCCCAGGACACTGACTTTTTTCAGCTCTTCTGGCCTTTCTTGCCTCCCTACCCTCCTTACTTCAGCATGCCCATCCAGGCTCTGCCTTTAGTATCTGGATAATGGTTGCCAAGACCAATAGCAGAAAGTGAGAGGCTTCAGGCCAACATGTAAACAAACTGAATCTCTCCAAGTGAGCACCGCCCTGGGAGCCCAGTCTCATGCTATTTTGTGAAGGAAATCCTGCATTACTGGCCAGCAGGAGCAATTACTGGCCAGGGCGGCCTCCTGGGACTTGGGCCTGTGGACATGACCCCAGGACAAGCCCACAGGGAGAGTTTCAGGATCTTGGGGAATCTGGTCGAGCCCACATGAGGAGTGACTAGACGCAGAGGTGAAGGGGAAAGCGGGGTTCGGGGCTAGCCCACACTTGCCAGCCTGAGACCTGGGTGTCAGTTCTGAATGGTATTACCAGGCAAGTCTGGTCCCAGGCACTGGACAAAAACTTTGAAAATTGTGGGGGAGATGCTCCAGGGCATTTGCCTCCTGGGCCCTGGGGTGGGGTCTTGTTTGCTGGGACCCCAGGGTGGTGGTGCTGGTCACTGCCCTCCACCCCACAGACATTTAATCATCCAGGCTGGCTCCTATCTAACTCCTCAGGGTCATTGGAGGGATGTCAACATTCTCTCACCCTCGTCTCCTTGTTTCTCTTAGACTTAACAGCGTCTCAGTGTCAAAGGGGACTCTGAAACCTCTTATTTCAGGATGTGTAATAAAGATACTTTCCAGGTGGTGCAGTGGTGAAGAACCCACCTGCCAATGCAGGAGACCCTCTTTTGCCATCCCTGGGTCAAGAAGATCCCCTGGAGAAGAAAACGGCAACCCACTCCAGTATTCTTGCCTGGAAATCCCATGGACAGAGGAGCCTGACAGGCTACAGTCCATGGGGTTGCAAAGAGTTGGTCGTGACTAAACAACAAAGATAAAAATTGCCTCATTCATTAAAATGATGCTGATTGACCAACCTAAGTGTTTTTAAGGAAAAAAAAACAAACAAACAGCGAAATCATACAGACATAATGACTTTCCAGATTCAGCGTGCCATTTTTGCAGTGAATAAATATAGCAGGATGGAGAGGATGGCTTTCTCCTACAAAGACTCCATCATTCTTTCAAATTGTACTGCAGTGTATTTGCCACGAGTAATTAACCCCCCTGTACTTAACCAAGGAGATGAGCTACCTGCAGTGGGCCTGGCAGGAACCACTGGCAGGGTCACTGACCCACCTTTCTTGGAGAGAATGAGTTAGACCCACAGCAGGCTGCCCAGTTTATACCAGACAGATGGCTTAAAGCCCCTGATGAGGCAAATCTGTGATGCTAGTCAGCACAGAGCAGAGGGAGCCCTTCGGGGATAACAAGGGTCTTTGCATAGGACCCCGAGTGAATGTCTTCTACCAGAGTGAGGGAACAGACCCGGGTTCTCCATGGGGGAAGCTGCTGGACAACTAGGCCACCTTCTGGAACACGGGAATTTATCTCCACTCTCTGTTCTGTTTTCATGGACTGTTCTGTGACAGCAAATAAGGGAGGAAGTAAGAGTGTTTTGCACAAAATGAGGGTTGTTATGATAATACTACCTCATTAAGTGAGAAAATGAATTTTGTCAAGTTTGTTCCGTAAAGTAAGTGGTTCTTGGGTTTTAATTGGCACATAAATTCCTCCGAGATTTTATGTATCACATATAGATTCTGATGTAGTAGGTGCAGGGTGGGGCTTGGTTTCTGCATTTCTGTCTTAAAGCAAACCTGTGGGGGAGATGTGAAACTCTCTTTCTCATATGTTTTCTCAGAAAACACAGTCTAGTCTTGTAGCCTATCTTCTCTTTAAAGTCCCTTTTGAATGTGTGTTCAGAATTTCTCCCAAGGTACCCAGAGCATTCTGCCTGCACCCCATCTGCCCCCGTTTCTAAGTGTCTCAGGATTTCCGTGCCATTGGCCCCTTCCACACTGTCCTCCATGTGCTGTTCTCAGCCCATTCTGACTCTCTCGTGCACCTGGGTCTGTGAAGGGGTTGGCTGGTCAGTGACATTTACTGCCTGCCCCTTGAGTTGAGATCCTTGTGGAGCTTGCATCTCAAAAGGCACCCTTTCTCTGGAGCTGCAAGCTTTGCTGGCAGGTCATCACTAAGCATCTGGGCCCTTGAAACTATCTTTCCCACTGGGTCCTTGTGATCTTACTGCAAAATACCCGCACCCTTGAACACCACTTTTGCTAAGAAAAGGAAGAAGATGTTGACATTCGTCCCCACCTCAAGCCCAAAGAAGGGGGTGGAGATGCTGTTTCCTTAACTGCTTTGAATACTGGGTGAGATTTGCAAAGCAGAACAAATCTAGGTTGCTAAATGCCTGGAGACCTGGCAAACTGCGGTGTGGAATGCTTTCCCTGCCCTCTGCAATTATGGTCGTGACATAAAATCCTGATTCCACACTGCAGAGAAAAGGGCAGGAGGCTACAAATGCTTGAATCCCCTTTGCTAGCTGCCAGTAAGGCAGATTGCTGACTGGGGGACAGAGGGAGGGAGATAGGGAGGGAGAAATACATGAGTGGGGACAGGAAAGGAGAGAGGAGGAGGAGGAAGGAGTCACCGATGTAAGGAAGGAAATAAAGGTAGATGGGGTGCAGGCGAGATGCCCAGGCTGCAGGCAGGATGCTCTGGGTACCATGGGAAAGGTTGTAAAGACACAGTCAGAGAGATTTAAATGAATAGATAGGCTACAAGACTACAGCATTTTTTCTGACGATATGAAAATAGGAGTTTCACATCAGCCCCACTGTTTTGCTTCTGGTAAGAGGTCCTGAAATGAGCCAGTAACCCAGAGGCATCTCATCCTGCCCTATGCATTGGGACAGCCAAATATAACATGATTGGAAGTCAAAGGAAGTGGGCTTCACATCACTGGCAGAAATATATTAAAAATGCGGGTTATTTCTTTCCACGGAGGAGCACTTCGAAGCAGATAAGTCCAGCTCACTGTATTAGGAAGATTAAGATCTGCAGGGATACAAATGGGACCATTTTTCAGGGGATGGAGGGGGTCCCTGGACCTGGACCCTGCAGATGCAAGGCACGTGCCAGGGGAGGGGCTGAGTTGGCTCCACGGTTCCATGGGCACAAGGCAGCCTCTTGTGCAGGAATATACATTCTGACATAACAGTCACAGAGCACAAGGACCGTGTAACCCCCAGCAGCAGGGCCTGCACCATCTCAGAAACAGAGGGAGGGGGAGCTGACACACCCCAGGAAGAAAGGTCCCTGGTCCGGCCTTCTACCCCTATTGTCACCTGCAGCTATTTCACTCATCCTTATGGTGAGCGAGGTGATGGGTAAGAAGCCAAGAGGTGGAGAGGATATGGAAGGCAAGGTCCTTGACCTTGGGGAGTCCACAGCTGATGAGCCGAGAACTGGAATACTTTATGTTTTCTTTTCAGTTTCAATTTTTCCATTCTTAATTGTTTTGGACTCTCAAGTCAGGGATGGTGGGTCAGGAAGACTTATTAGAGATGGAAGAAGAAACCTGGGCGTTCA